TCAAATAATAAATCATAAAACAACATTGCTGTCACCATAAGTGTAAATAATGGTATGTAGTTTTATTCATCGCCAGATTTTTTAATCGTAATGACTTTCTATACACTACAATATTATTAGTTTTATTATCATTACATTCACTTAATTATTACTTTTTGTTGTTTTTGTTGTTTTCTATTGATAAGTTTTTAAATTATTTTAGAAAACAGCCCCAAGGAAATACGCGCGCTGATTGGTGAAAAATCGTGTTTCTATAACTNTGGCATTGTTCAGGAATAAGCCAAGTTATGTCAAATAATAAATCATAAAACAACATTGCTGTCACCATAACTGTAAATAATGCTATGGAGTTTTATTCATCACCAGATTTTTTTTATCGTAATGACTTTCTATACACTACAATATTATTAGTTTTATTATTATTACATTTACTTAATTATTACTTTTTGTTGTTTTTGTTGTTTTCCATTGACAAGTTTTTAAATTATTTTAGAAAACAGCCCCAAGGAAATCCGTGTGCTGATTGGTTAAAAATCTTGTTTCTATAACTCGATGGAAACACAGAACTCGCACAAGCTGTTGACGTAACGATGGCACGAGTGAAGAGAATTTACATGTTGAAGATCAAAGTTAACAAGCTGTTTTTATTTTTTTCGTCGCGGTGTTTTCTTAAAGAAATAGAAAACATGTTCTCCGTGTTTCTATCGAGTTAGAGAAACACTCGTGAAAGTTTGGAATAACTCGAAAAAGCTGTGGAAACACTCGCCTGCGGCTCGTGTTCCCACAGCATTTCTCGTTTTCCCAAACTTCCACTCGTGTTTCTATAACTCGATGGAAACACGGTACATGTTTTCTATTTCTTAAATATTATTAACTAAGTTAACAGTTATTTATATTTCATATTACTTACTTTAAATGCAACAATGTACCAAACAGACGGGTACACCAAAATGTAAGAGACAATCTCTGGCAGGCACACTCTATTTTGGACTCAGTCACTTTATTGTCAATTTCAAAACCACAACACGAGCACCACAATAGCAACAGACAGCAAAAAAAGCCTGCAGTTGCAAAAAGACAGCAAAAACAGGCCAACAATTGCAACAAGACGGCAAAGAAGCCAGCAAACCTTCACCACAAAGCCAACAAATAAGACAGCTGCGCGTTTAAAGCCAGCAAATTGCAACAGACAGCAACAATTTGAACACAGCAAGCCAACGAAGTTCAACCAAAAAATTTAAGTCAAAGACTTGATTACCAACAACAAAGGTACTCCAAAACAGACAAAAACCGTTCAACATCGCAGAGAAATTTTGGTGGAAATCAAGAAATTAACAACACCCCAACACTCACTAACGGATTGATATGAAGAACGGCTCGTTCAATTCCCACGGAAACACACGAGAATTAAAGGTATACGATCAAAGAATAAAACCTATTAACAAGGCTTTTGGTAAGATATTTTAGAGTACAAAAGTCAACGTGTTAGCTTGACTTCGCTCGTCCCGATTTCAAGATGGCGGTCCCGCCACTTAACCCGCAACAAAATTCAACAAGAATACACAATTATGCGCACACAAAACTAAAACAGATATTACACACGTACAAAAACAATAACAAAGTGTAAACACTTACACTCAATTAGCAAACAAAAGCGATATTAGGCCAAGCTCTTTGTCTTCCTTGACCTCTGTTGTCTTCCCTCGATGGCTTCCCGACGCTAATCTGAATATTGTTGTACACTGTAGTCACCACCTGTCTTCTCATTGGCTAAAAGCTTACAGTTAATTCTGGGAAACAGCGTAACCTACAG